AGGAGTAACAAATCTAAGTCTATCAGCAGAATTTATAAAAAAGAAAAAAAAAATTGAAAAAGAATGATTTAGAGTGTGGAGAGAAATAAATAAATCGAACACAAAAAGAGTGTATATAGTCAAATAAAAAGAGTGGCGAAGGTTGAATATAGACTTGGCAGAGTGAAGGACTAAATTTAGTATTACACGAGACCATGTGCCAATCTTTAAATCTGCTTTAAAGCTTATTTTGATTGGGTAATTTAAAATTCTAAATATAAACAATCAATAAATTATCATTACCAAGAAATCGATTACTGGATATTTCCTCTTTTCGAAAAACAAGCCACTTAGCTGTGCAATAATCTATAATGACAAAGTTTCAACCAATTAGATATATTGATCCATATTGATCAATTATTATGATATCGTGCGTACATTACTTACATTACTGAGCCACAAATGTAAGACAAGCAAATGTATTTTTAAAGTTCCACATCGCTCTCAACACAGAGAATCCTAATCGAGTTTAAATTATATCGATATCCAGTATTATCTGTGGCTTTAGAGATTTCGTCGGGAGATCGATCATTTGCAGTAGAATTCAGTTTATTTGTCATCTTTTGGTCAAAGAAGTGTACACTGAATGTTGCGATAATGTCTAAGCCAATCAAATCAAATCTAATTAAAATTTATATTTAACTTTTAAGTTAAATAAATACTGTTAAATGTTGTCATTGATAATTTACCGATATATTTATTTACCGACAATTTCAAACCCACCTAGTATCACCACCAAAATCAGTCATTCTCGATAATAAAATGTGATTACCATATGAAACTCTTAGAATATCACATCTTAATCTTTGTTCACTCTGTCGAATGATAAAACCTACGGATACATTGCAAAATAGTAAAAAGAAATCGTGATTTGAGTGCTTATCATATTTTAAAAAGGTTCATTTACAAAAATCTCATAAAATGCAATAATGCACTAGTTAATAAATAATCGATTAGAATCACAGTATGCTAAAGATGACATTTAAAAATATATAACAAATTATAAACAAATTGAACATGAATATAAACATATCCTAATTTAACATTCAATCATTTGAATAAAAACAAATCTTGGATTATTTCTCTTGAAAAATCGTTTCATACATTATTGCGACTTGCAAAATGATTATCTTTGATAAAACTTGTAGATGGATTGCACAATTATACACTATAATTTAACTAGTACATTTTACAATCAAAATAATGACTAAATTTTAAGCAGTGGTTACGTGGTGATACTAAGTGGGTTGGCAAGTTCATTTTCTGACAGCCCAATTTATCGAAGAGCAAAAATACAATTTTTTTTTTCGTAATGGGTGCTATTATAATAGTTTTATGGTCTTACTTGACATATATGATGGTCATGCGGTATGACTATTTGCGAATAGGTTGCTATATATAGATTAGATTGTAACAACTTTTCAATATATATATGGATTAGTTTTGACAACTTTCTACCTGATATGGATTAGATATTATTGGATCTACAACCGAAACTTCCTTGTAATTCTAAAGAAGGAAATTTTTTTCTAAGAAAGGAAACTTTCTATCCGTCATTTTTGTAAAACAAGTTCAATTTCAATTTGATATTTTGTATGGTAATTTTTAATAACATCGACACAATAATAAGCTGTTATTAAAAAAGCTTCGTATAGCTATTTCTTTTATGTTTCGCGTAGAATAATTAAACCAATTCTGAGTTTTAACCAATTTTTTTTTTTTCCGTCGGAAATTTTACAGGACAGATGAATTGATAATCACTGATCGTCAAAGTTCATAACGAAAGACCATAGCGAAAGAGATGACCATTTCCAAATGTACAAATAATGATATGACTTAACCCGTTTAAAAACGATCCTCTTCTAAGTATTTTAACGTGACAAAAAACTGCTGATTTGAATAATTACCTGATCAGAGGCTTAACATTAAATATTGATTTGACTATCTGACTTATCCGGATTAAAACGAGTTTGTATATGCCTCAAATCAATTTTGCCTCAGGTGATAACTGAAACACCTCAGGTGTTGACTGTTTGGCCGGCATTAACTGACCGACATTAATTGGCCAAACTATAACTTAATCCTTACTCTAACTCTAACACTAATTTAGACCAATTGACACTTGAGAAACAGGGGTTAAATCAGCACTCAAGTCAAAAATCGCAAAATTTAGTTTATGAAACCGTCTTCTGTGCACTAATAAATTTTCTTTACAAAATTTTGATATAAGAAATGGTTTCAAGCCCTAACTTGATAACAAACAAATTACAGACCCTAATCTAATGACGTAAATTCTTACTTTGAAAAAATTTGGATGGCAAATTAATCAGGGTACACTTAAGAGAAGAATCAATCTGAGATAGAGATGGGCAAGGTAATTACTTATTACGTAAAAAGTCACATCACGCAATGCGACGATTCTCCAATAATATATACCTGCAATTAATAACATGCTAAATCGACACGTTATGTGAAATGACTTTTTACGCAATAAGTGATTACCTTGCCCATCTC